GCAGCCTGGTGGTCAGCCCGGAGAGGAAAGGGACCCCCTGCTCCTGCCTGCGCTTCCAGAGCCAGGGCTTTCATCTCCAAGCAGGCTTTGAGAAAAGAAATCCCGAGGCCCAGAGGCAAAGCCGTGGAGCCTGCAAGCTGAGCCCCAGCTCACAGCCCTCGCCGCTCGGGTGAAGGATGCTCACCCAGTAGCACAAAAGCAGCAAAAATCTATTTACCCTTTCTGCTTTTCTCTGCGAGAGGGAAGAAGCATCGCTCGCCTGGCGTCAGGCAGCTGCAGTGGTGCATGCCAATCCGAAGGGAAGCACTGGGAGAAGGGTGTGTGAAAATGGCCCCGTATCCTGTGGCCAGGAGCCCTCCCCTACACACCATACAGGCCAAACCTGCCTTGAAGAGCTTTAGGTCTCCCCCCAGGCTGATGGCAAAGACGCCTTGATGACAACGAAGGGAACAATTCCAGTTTCCATCCCCTCCCCTATGGCCTCCCTATAGGGAACTCGGAGGTGGCAGGGAAGCTGAGGATGAAACACCTCCCCACGCAGGGACAGGGGAGGCATCCAGAAGAGTACGACACATCCAAATGCTGCTTAAAACTCACCTGAAAATACACCTTAACCAGCAGCCTGGAAATATGAGGACCAGCTTTCAGCACCCAGACTAAAATACCACAACGGGAAGATGTGAATGTTTTTCCTCTCTCACCACCCAGCCCTACTTGTGATACCAGATAAAATATTCCCTTTCAAATTCCTTACGGCAAAGGCGAAGCCGCGCTGGCTGAAAAAAGCAGCAGTCAGGCAAAACTAAAAGCACCTCCACAAGGAGAAGCCCTTCCAGGAATTTACTTTCTCCTGCTGATCCTCCCCATCAGCAGCCCGGCACTGAAAGCCCTTTTCAACACTAGATAAGAAGGGGCCCCACCAGTAATGCTGGCAAAAAATTCACAAGGCAAACCAGCAAGGTATGTCACAGCCCCGGGGGAAGATGGGAAAACAGCAATTTGAATGTCATTAAACGCGTTCTGATAACTTAAACCACAAGGAATGAGCTAAATCCACTAATGATTGTCTGACCTCTCTGGGCAGCTCCTTTGGAGCTCCAAGGGCAGATCCTGCTGCAGCTGCCTTGGCTCTGACAAGCTCCTCAAGCCTCTCCGCTCCCCAGGCTGGCTCCCCACACAGCGCCCAGCCAGTCCCGAGAGCCTTTTCTCTTTGTCGGGATGCTGAAACAAGCTCTGATGTGCCTGTGCCGAAAGCTGCCCCTCTGGCACGGCGGGGTGTTTCCCACTGGGGAGCTTTCGGTGAGAAGGTTTCTGAAGAGCTCCTAAGCCCAAGGACCAAGTCCCCAGAAGAACGAGGAAGGTCATCTCCAGCAGCACCCTTTCCGATTTGCCCCTTCCAGTGGAAAAGAAAGTCACGCCAACACTAAAAGCCAGTGGAAGGAAAAAAAACAAGCCAACAAAACACAAACCCAAGCCATGCTACGCTGTATATACAGTTCTCCTGGGAAAGAAGGAAAACAAACATACAAGACCAGTGTTCTTGAAGTATTCCTGCTCGTGACGGGGTCAGCAGAAGAGTCCTCTCTGTAGCCTAACGACCCAGAAGCACTTGCCTGAATCTCCAAGAGAGCGTAGTCTCTCTCGCAGCCCGCATGCCCAGCGCCCACCCCGGGCTCGGCCACCTCTGAAGACCCAAAGCTGGCTGCTCAACGATGCTAAGCACGGGCAGCTTTGATGGAGACAGACCTGGCTTGTCTGTGCTCAGAGAATTACCACTGCAGTGTCCATCACTCATTATTAAAAAGGTCTTTTTCCACCCTGAAATGCTACCTCTAAAATCCTATCACGCGGCAATCTCACCGGCCGCTCCGCCGATAATAACGGCGCGCTTCACGTGTTTGTTCCAGTCACCTGCTCTCCCAGATATTCTCGGCTCAACGATCAGCGCTGGGGACTTCAGAGAGTTCCCGCAGCCACCGCAACAACGACGCGTACGTGTCCTACTGACCTTCAGCCAGACCTACCTGCACGTCGTTAATCACTTCTGAAATCCCCATCCATTACCAAGTTCCACAACAGGAACAGTGAGAATGAGACGTGCAAATAGTTTCGCTGGCAGGTTTCTTCACCTTAAAGCCAGAAGGGTTGTTGTTTTTTTTTTTTAAGCCATACAGAGGCTTGTCAGAAAATAAATAAAAAAAAAAGCAAAGAGCCACAAATATATATTTTATAGTCAGCCTTTAATTTTTTGTCTGTGATTACTGCAATAAAGTGCACCTAATTTCACATGAAATGAGATAACATGGCTCTTAATACAGCCAACATAATATCAACAGATAAATCTCAGTGCAAAATGCTTATCTGAAGACAACCAAAGCAGTCAAGACATTTACTGTGCAAACAGCCTTTTCCGATGCACGTAACTTCTGGCTGAGGGCCAGTAAATGAGTCAGCGAAACGCAACGGCAGCGGGTTTGCTACTTCATTTCCAGGAGTCCTGAAGCACTGCTCAGCTCAGCAGCCCCTTGTAGAGACTCCGCAGCGACGCTTTGGGATCATCTCTGTAAGGACACCGATGAGCTCCAAATTCAACCCACATCGAGACTTAAGCAACTGGGGAATTACTACTCGGCTACAAACCAGATGGAAGAAAAGTCCAGACAAAGCAGGAGGGGGAGAGAGAGGGGGAAATGCCAGAATGGATACACAGGCACTAAGCATGAAAACACAGGACTGGCTGAGCTAAGAATTACTTCAAGACCTTCTCCATGTATAGTAAGCTCATCAGCTGCGAACGCAAGAACTACGACGTGTGCTGTAAGACCAAAATAGGACCCGCAGCCATTTTTTTGTGAAGCAGCTGAGGCATGCCCATTTTGTGTAGTGACATTTAATTAGAAAAGCAGAGCTGGTTTTATTTTTAAATTGTTCTATTAAATAAAAGTAAATATCAAAGTGGTTATTTCATCTGGAAAAAAAAAGCCAGCAGTTTCAATGTGCTTTGAACTGCAGTACAAAAACTGTTCATCTCAACCCCTCCCCTCTCCTTCTCCAAAATATACAGGACAGCAACTTCAGCTTCACATGGTAAGAAAATATATACACATTACATACAGTAAACATACTCTGCCTTTTTTTTTTTAAACTTTATACAACATTAGTGAGGAAAAATATAAACATTAATAAAATTACATACAATATATTCAACATAGTAAGCAACTGCTACCAGAGCAAAGGTTGATACACTATCAAAAGACAGGCAGAGGAAAGGATAGTGTTGCCATACCAATATAACCACACATCATTTTTTTTAATAGCTTAAAGCAATTCTATTGCCAAAGAAAGATACCCTTTGAGGTAGATTCTTCCAATTCTTAACAACATGTTGAGATTAAAAAAAACCAGGGATTTTCTCCCCCCCCTCCCCTGAACCATGCCACGAGCATAACTTTTGTTTGAACAAAGGTAAGCTGATTATCCTGTGAAGGGCAGAGACGCTGCAGTCTTAGGCTAACTCTCTAACACTTGAAATGAAAGACAAAACATCTAATACGAATTTCCAAATAAAATACCTTCCCTGTAAGACACGTGTCCATAACACTTCCTGTATATGTAACATACATACTTAAATTTGAAGGGTTTGGGTGGCGTTTTTTCAGCCTTATTTTACGTTCTCATCTTGGAAAGTTGTAGGGAATTTACCATACAAGACAAGATAGGGTAATCTACAAAAATTAAAAGGAAACAGTATTATAAAATGCACATGTTGATATTATTAAAAATCTCACTTCTTAAGGGAGTCCCAATTGCTGCTTCTACACGATACTTTAACTTTCTGTTCATATATACACACATCCTACAGACAAACCACAGCGTAAGGTTTAAATGATGGCATTTGCACAGAAAGCACAAAAGAAGATGACATCTTCCTTTGATTATTTCTCAAACAGCTCTCGGAGCTTTGTGCACATACAGTGTGTGCGGCAAGGCTTCACACAAAGGAATTCAGACCTCATAAGGCTTCCAGTTTTTACATATGTGGCCAAACGCTGCTCTTCTCAAATCTCCACTGAGCTAATATTTTAGGAATAGTATTTTCTCCATTTAAAGAAATTGCTGAAACCAGATAACAAATACAGACATGCTTGTTTCTTAAAGAACAGCACAACGATACTGCTGGTGTAATAAGGTCTCATTTGTAACTTGGTCTTATAGAATCACTTCCTGTGCAGTCACATTCCCTGCATGAATAAATTAACATCTGAAGATGAGGAAGTTAAAATGAATGCATCGCTGTAACAACAAATTCTATTTTATTTGATAAAACACAGCCACAGAGCAGAGGCATCCACTTAACCTGTTTGGGCACAGCCACTCTTAAGCTCTGTTTCCGCCCTCAAGTAAACGCGAGAGCAGTCACTTGTTCACATTCAACTGCTTTATTTTTTATTTTTAGAGACATTGGAGGGTCATACCAATTCTGCTTTGCAGATTAACATGTGCAGGCAATTCTGTTCTTCAGCCCACTTTTGAACCACTTCCTCACCTGCTCGCATCAGGGGAGGTCTAATACTGTTTCTGAACTCACATTCCATGTCATAGGGCAGTTCTTTCCCAGCCATCCTAAAACAACATTTGCAGGTGTGTGCTGGCAAGAAAACTCAAACATATGATTTTCAAATACGTCTTGTGATTAACAAGAAAACTTCCCTTATCTTTCAACATGATAAAATATTTCCAGCCAACTCAGACAGGGCTATAGAAATAGCTGCGGTTTTTTTCAGTTTACCCACTTCCATTTTTGAGAAGTAGTGTGTTTGCAGTAAAAGCAATGTTAATCAAATGAAATCCTTGTGTTGCTAGTATTTGGCTGAATCAAGCTCAGGTTCTAACTCAGGTGACTGATTTCTTCTGTTCTGACCAAGGTGAAGCTGCATTCATTCTACACCTTCCTTGGTTTCAGAGTTTTTGCTGTCATTTTCCCTGAACTAGGCAAGATTTCATGAATCTGGCTCCCAGAAGTCATGCAGTTTTCCCTAAAGAGTAAAAACAAAATAGTAAACACGTCAGAAAACCAACGATAGAAGTAAAGAGTAGAGTAGGCAAGTGCTTAGCTCAAGATCGCCAATGTGTTGCAAGTCCCTAGAATTTTATTTGGAAACACTTGCTAGTTTCCCCATATGTGGATCAACTCCAAATATCTCTGAAAACCCAGCTCTGAAAGAGCAGCATCATTATCAACTTTCACCAATTGGTAAGTAGCTTCTGCAGTTCCCTTCCCCCTCTATAACAAGAAATGTCATACGCACTACGAATTTTGTCTTTTTTGCACATTGCTGGGAGCGATTAATAGTCTTTACAGACAAATGGTTGACTACCCAATTTTTAACTGAAAGCAATACTAAGCATATATGTATGATTTAGATTTTATGTAAGTGATACATTACTGGAAAGCTCCAAGCTTTTCCAAGACAGGTAGCTTTATATTCCAAGACAGGACTCAAACAGTTGGTCTGATCACATTACAAAAGAAACCTTACAACCCTAGGCTGGAAGAAACAGCTCTGAACTCTGGGTATCAATAGAAATTATCCACCTATTCCACCAAGGCCAGCTAGGTATCATGAAGGCAAATATTAAATGAGACTAATCATGACATTATTTACTACTGCACACTTTTACAGAGCATGAAAGGCTTTTCCTAATCATTGCATGAAATTCGACACATTCAAAGAGGGAGGAGTTATCAAGAGCCGTTAAACATATGTGGATAGAGCCTTGGACCCAAGCAGTCTCGAAGCCACACGCCGCCAGGCCACAGCAGGAAGGGCCACTGCATTC